ACATATACACACAACAACAACAACACAAGGCCTGGTCTGGACTCCTGGAAAAGCTCTGGCTTATCTCTCCCCACAGATAGTGAAATGGATTAAGAGCCACATTTGGCACGTCCAGGGAACTGGACAGATAACCAGGAAAACACTCTCTCTAACTGCAATCGCTGTTCAACATGATTTGTATGTATGTGTGTGTGTGTATAGAAGAGATAGTAAAAGAGTGGATGTATTTTAGCTAGCGCACGCTCCCCCATGTGAAGGCATCGGACCGCTAACTGTGTGTCAGTGTGTGTTTCTAAGTGTGTGTGTGTGTGCGTGCGAGAAGAGTGTGTGTCTGGAGGAGTGATGCAGTGGTTGACCCAGGACCCAATCCATTAAAACACACACATTCATCTTCCAAACACACACAGCGCGCCCAGACAAAGAGCCGTGTGTGAGAGGACGTTCAGCATGTGTGTGATGTCAGCTGGAGACAGAGAAGGGGAGCCCATCATATCCCGTTAATGTGTGTTTGGGTCTGTCCTCTGACACACTACGCTTCCTCATTGACTTCCTCGGTTATGGATGCTCGCTATGAAGATGATAGGTGGATGAAACTCCCCTTTCCCTTCCCTTTAAGACAGGCTAACTCTGCTCTTTTCTCTTGCCTTTGCAGCCATGTTCACTGCATAATAAATAGCATTTTATAGAGAGCGGTAAATAAATCCAGGCCATTATTGGTCATCATTGACAGGCGTAGAGTCAAATGAATATAACTTTTAAGCCTATAAAATGTGATGCACTGCACTGTGCACTGTAATTATCAATGCCAGCGATGGATCCGTGCGGTATTTAAATTTTACACTGTGAATATGGACAATCATATAAAATGGTCAGGGGTAAATACTAATACAAGGGATTGCAAGCACAGCCTTTGTTGACATTCTGCCACGTCTCTAGTGTAAAAAAGCAATTTGCATAACTCGGATTTATCTTTTTAGGCTGCTGTTTTTGGGGTTTGCAAAACGACAGCTTTCCCACATGGAATAACCTAAAATTTTAATGTTATTACAAGTCAGCAGAGGGAAGAGAGGAGAAGGGGCCTTTCTGACGGCAGATTCTTAGGCTGCTACAAAAGAAAGAATGGCTAAAAAACACAATTTCCATCTGTTTCTTTGCACCATTCTACATGTTTGCCTTCTTATCTGTCTGCCTGTCTCTTTCCCTCTCTGTCTATTAGAGTCAAATCTCTGTCTTAATGGGCTTCTATTGTATCCTGCCTCTCCCCCTCCTCTATTCACCACACTACCACACGCATATACACACTCCCTCTGAGGAGGCCCCTTAACCAGGCTCTCCATATGCCTGACCCCCACCTCCTTTCTCCTCCTCCTCCTCGTTCCACGACCCCCTTCCCCTCTACCCCTCTCTCTTGCTCACACTCTGGCTTCTGCTCTGTTGCTGCTGCTGCTGCTGCCCCACGCTGCCATCTGCTACAAGACAACAGAGGGTGAAAGAGAGAGAAAAGCACGATGAAAGACAGTGCTTGGAAAGAGGAAGACATAGGGAAAGAAAAGCTGGAGGGGGAAACGTGTGGAAAGAGAGATTGATTAAAAGAATAGAGGGAGAAAGCATATATGTGGACACAATACAACAGAGAGGAGAGAGGCTGTCCATCTGCTCCCCCTCACCTCCCGTCCCCCTCCTGACTCACAGCCTCACGTACACCACAAAGAGAGTATTTAACCTCAACACACACATACAGAAAAAGAGTGAGACAGAAAAAGCAGCCCGGCCTCTCTCTTTAACCCGTTCCTCTCCACTGAGCCTGCCTGTATTACACCCTTGGGGTGGCAGGTGATGGCTAGATGGAGGGAAAGGATGTAAGGGGGAAAGAGAGGGGGAGAGGGATGGTGGGGGTGTGATTGAGGGACAGAGTGCAAGGGATGAAGGGTTGAAACTGATCTGAATCAACACCAACACATCCTCCACAACCCCCCTCTCCCCTCCCCAAACCTCAAACCTCAATAGAGACCAGCTTGCTGCCCGTGTCACTATGACAACCCCTGTCAATCATACTGTAGCAGTGGGCTTCCCAGTGGGGGCCGATGGCGCTAGATTAGGAATGGCTGCTAAAAACATCACAGCGCCGAGCTCAGCTCATTCAGCTTACTAATGGATGTAAACACTGAAAATTTTCAGAGGCCTGTTCATACTTTATTTACAGAAAAGCTCAGACAAGAATACACATCCTGAAGACAACTACTGGAAATTGTGGCTGTAAATCACACTGAAATCTGCCAGCAACAAAGAAATGACCATGAATTTCTTTTCCAAGCCAGTGTTCCAATTGTTGGAAAAACACAAGTGTAGAGCAATCATGTTGGCGAGCAATCTTTACGTAAACCGTTGTCTACCAATTGCAAATATCTATAAACAACCAAAAACTTAGAGAGGACTAGAACGATCCAGCAATTCATTAAAAAACGTAAAAAACAAAACCTTTTCCCATAAAGATATTATGAAAGTGCAACTTGTCAAAGCCATTTTCACACATGAAGTCTGGACAATTGTAAAGTTAAAAAATTTGTTTTATTTCACATGTAATACACAACACTACTGGAAATGCTTTGTTTGTTCGGGTTAGCATTAGCATTGCTGCCTGGATAGGTCACTCGTGGGGCGACACTTGACACCCACTCACTCCCAGTTTATTTAGAGAACAATCTGCTCGCTGAGTTGTGACTTAACAACCTGCCAATAATGCATTTTTTAATTCTACTATATCGACCGAGGCGCTCATTGAATTGACGTGTTGCAGGGTTTCATTATGCACCAAATTACTAAGACATGGGGCACGGCACTGTCAATCGAAGATTTCACCAGAAGCAGCATTTGTAGTGAATAATGTCATCGGAAAAAGTTGATCCTTGATTGATACTACAAAAAACAATCAGCTGAAATACTCATTTCCAACAGTATCGATGTCAGCAGCACCGGCTTAGCTTCCTCCAGCTGACAGAGAACTTCATACAGCACCTCTGCAAACAGACAGGCGTGCAGCCACTGCCCTCACTAGCAGCTGAACACCTGAACACACGAATACTAGCAAAACACGTAGCAAAGCATCTTAAAGTTTGAAACCCCCAATCTTTACGAAGAGTTTCCTGAGGTTAATAAAGTTCTCATTTCAACAACAGAAATTTGCCAAACAATAGTCAGAAGTTTTGCCCTGGCCAGTTTAACTATTAGCAATTATATGACAGCCATATTAGCCAAATTAGTTAGGTTATCATAAGGTAGCGGCTAAAGTAGCAGCTATTGCTAATGCTAGCGGCAAACTTTATTCACAATCCTGCCTATCGGTGTGTAAACTACTACTAAACTACTATAACTACTGCTACTAAACAGTGATAAGTTGACAGGGTAATAGAACTATTTGTGTCTAATAAGTATTATATTATGAAAGGTCCACAGGCAGCTAGACAGAAACAGTGCTCAGCAGCTTTGCTCAGCAAAGAATTATGATACCAAGTAGTCAGAAGCAGAGGTATAAATGAAACAGGGCTGTAGCTGATTACATTTGACTGGACCATCATTTGTTCTAATATATATTTTTAAAATGTGCCTCTTAATTTTGGAATATAAATGTCGTGACGAGTACCAAATATTTTCACGGGTATCGGTATCAAGTTTAAAATTCTACTGTTTTGACATGCCTACTGTCAATAGAAATAAAAAAATTAGTTTTCTTTGTGTTTATTCTCACTACTCATGACACTCCACTTGTAAGCTAAACACTTAAAACTACAATACAGCCTTTAAACACATCATAAAAGCTAAAGTCAACAAAGATTTCTTTTTTTTTTTTTACTAAAGATATTTCAAAGAACCCTTCGCTATATTAAAAACTAACCTCATATGCACTCTAGTCTGCGGTTTTGTCTATTTTCTGCTGTCTTCTTCCTGCCATATGATTGCACTTATTTCTGCCACTCTTGCCCTCGCAGGTGCTGTACCACACTGCTTGACTGCCATAAACTAAACTTTTATTGAAAACAATTTCAATAAAAACTTCTTTAATAGCCTAACAATACCTCTGTAGCTAGCAGGGTGGCAGATAATTCGATGGTGACTAGCCTGAATGCGCGAACCCTTTCAAGTAAAATGAAAGCCCCAAATAGCTGAATGCTGCGCTTGTTTTCACTGCCTTACTCTAAATCCATCTACTTAAGAAAAATGAGAAAAACATCCCAACAAGTGACAATATCATGTTCATCTTGGAGCAGCCCTCGCTTGAACTTTGACCCAAAGCGTTTACTGAATGGAGACTAGGCAGGACTGTTATTGACACTGATGAAAAAACACCAATCACGGGCGCGTCTCACGAGCCAATTAAGAGCCGAAGCCACAGAAGTGAGGCACAGCGGAGGAAAACACGACACAACATCATGTTGACAACATGACGCCTTTACTCCTGCTTGGCCTGTCGAGCTCGGTGACATCGAGATGGCTGTCAGGTTTGGACACACACACCACTGTGTAGGTCAACACACACTGCAAACACTAGATTCCCCCAAGGACCTGTACAACACCAGTATAGTGTGTAGAGGGTGTGATGGAGGCAAGAGGAGGGGGGCGGCGTTGAAGGCACTGACCCGCAAAAGCTGATTTCATTAAAGGGAAGGAGAGGAAAGGAGAGGAGAGGAGACAGTAAAGGTCTCTGTGTATATGACCACAAATGGAGAGAGCAGACGCCAGCTGTCACTTGCTTATGTCAGCCCTATTCTCAGCTCTTATGTGAGTGTGTGTTGTGTGCTTGTATGTGTGTCGCTGTGTGATCTCAGTTAGGCTGGTTTCAATTACGGGGCAAACTTTGACCCCGTGTAACCAAGCCGGGAAGGGAGCTACCGAGAAAGGTGTGTGTGAGAAAGGGAGCGGTCAACTCAGAGATCTCGAGAGTGAGAGAAGCCTTTTTTTTCACTCAATAACGCTCAAACTTGCATCACAGTGTCATGACTTACCCTTTTTCTGGGGGGCCCTCGTTCTTCTTCCTTTGGGGCCCGCCCCGCCCCTCCTCCACTACCTGTTCGCCCCTGCCGTCCCCCTTTGCCCTCTCCAACTGCAGGTCTGATGGTCGTCCGGATCTCCGGTGGGCAAATGTAGTTCTCAAGGCTCTTTGGGGGCTTCTTGGTGCGCTTGGTGGTCTGTATCTTCAGCTTTAGACTTCCTTCCTGGAAACTTGCTTCCTTGATGGAGAACTCCTGCTCCTCCATTAGCCCGTCCCCCTGTTCCTCTAACCCCTCACCTTCACTGATGGCACCGTTAATCACATCATCGCTGCGTGCCAACCCGATGCCTCCTGCTCCTTCTTGGTCCCCTTCATTTGGCCCCACCCTACCTCCCTGAAGGTCAGCCTCTTTGGGTCGGGCTGAGCCAACCAGATCCCTTTGCTCCATCCACTCTCCCACCAGAGCCAGTCAGGATGGGGGAAGCCTTGGCAGCCAGCCAATAGGAAGATAGAAAGCAGTAGTCTGTCGGGCTGGTTGGTTGTTGTCAATCAGCTACTGAGGTTGTGTTGATTGTCCCACAGGAACACAGCGAAGCCAGGGACAGTCTGCAGAAAGAGCAGGTGAATGACATAATTAGGAAAAAAGGGCGTATGAGACCCGTTCTGTCATCCCCATAGCTTCCATTCCACTGCTACCTCTCAGCACAGGCCTGTTCTCTGTCATCGCCATCATTGCCTGCCTGTTAAGTATGAAGACAAACACACACTCATCACAGAGCTGCAGAGGCATGCTGCCTAGCTATCATTTGCATTTTGTACCTCGCATAAACAAACTCATTTCTGACACCCACTTGCCTTCCTCTCTTCCTGCTCTCTTCTTTACTCCCTCTTTGCTAAATCTTCTCTCTCACCCTTCATTACTTATTCCATCCTTGTGACAGATCTGAAGCGGAGCTGCGCAGACACTAGAGTGATCAGTGCAAAATAAGACATTCCTCTTCTCTGCTCTAAAACCAGGCTGAAGTTAGCCTGAGGACACAACACAGAAAAAAAATGAACGAAGCTGGCTCCGTTTTTTTTGTTGTTTTTTTTTTCTTCTTCAGAGGAGTGAAGGAGGAGGGAGGGGAACACACAAGGGGGGAAAGGAAAAGCAGCAGAGAAAGACGGAGAGAAGGAATCTAAATTCTTTCCCCAGATGTGGTTTACGAGCTGGTCTGGAAAAACTAGCGTCTGAACCATTTTACACACGCATGCAGCCGCATTGCTACACACATACACAGTAAAAAAAAACAGTGCGCGCATCCACACAGACGCACATCCAAAATGACAACGTTGCCATACACATGCTGCACCCCCTGCTGCTATTCCTGCTCTCTGGAGAAAAACACTGTGGCCGCTGCTTGTCAGGAGGATTCGGGATTTCTGTTTTGGATCATTGCACGTGCAGACGCAGATCCATATTACACGCTCACGCCATACGTACATACACACGTGCGCTTGCACAGGCCTACTTACACACAGGCGTATAAACAGAAAGCAACCAAAACAAACAGTGGACTACACTTCTCACTACAGCTCGAGGGAATCCCATCAGTCAATATGACATGAGGCATGACTGAGTGGGAAGTGGGGAATGCTGTCTCACATGCTGAGCTTAGCCTGACACCATTTACACTGATGTGAACCCAGACTAGACCACTACCTGTCGACATGACTCAAGTAAAGGGATCTTGCTTCCCGCAGACTTAAAAAGATCTGAAAGAGCACAACTGGCTCAGAGCATATATCAAGATTTGCATACCTATTAACCTAATACACTCCCTGGCATGACTACTACAGTCATTTTCCTTTAGCTGTATGTGTTTTCTCAGTGTGCTGTACTGTACCAGCCCACGCTACTGTACAAACAGCTGATCCCATCATAATATCTAAGGGGCCTCAGAGCACATGCTTGCAGTGTGACTGAGCAGTCTTAATCCACAGCAAGTTTTCCAACAAACCATTACAAGACTGCAGTGTCCAGCTCTCAAAGTTAGCCGTGTGTCCTTTTTCTTCTGCATGCCCTTAAATAAAAAAAAGTCAAAAAAGACTTGTTTCAACGAACCCTCTCTTTAACCGTAAAGTTTGCCAATCTGAAACCACTTACAAGGGTTATTGATGTAGGTTCTGGTAGCCCAGTGGCGGTCAAGGATCAAAAAATTTAAGGGAGCGTAACAGCGGTTTTGCATGTTTAAGCTTATGAAGCCCAAATTGCTCACATGGCTGTACTGCCAAACATTTCCCAAAGCACATTAATACATTCTCAGATTGATTTCCTACCTTGGAAATCACGGGTTTTCATTCAAAATAACAGGTTTTTAAACTTAGCTCCTCGACAGCAGCCTGTTTAATGGAAGAATATACCAAATTCACTTTTTTTGCTTTTTTTTGGGGGGGGGGGGGGGGTGACATCGTGACAACTAAGAATTTAAGTGCAAAGCTTTCTTGGCAGGGTAAAATTTCACATCCCAGAGCCTCCTTCATTTAACTCTTTGACTAACACGAACCTTCAAAGCAGACTGTGCTCAGTGCACAACCACACCATAGCAAGTGTTACATCAATCAGTAACACTGAGACATAAATAATGCTCAGTTTGATGGATAGCCTGTTTCAAGAGTGATTTTGCATACACCCTGCCAGCAAGAATGAAAACTGCTGACTGCCTGGAAGTTAGAAACTCATTCCCGCAAACTCCACAGCCATCGCCGTGCTTGTACAATCACACTTTTAAGCATACAAAGTTTTACAGATATAAACAAAAGGCGGTGCAGTCCAGGTGTAGTCCCAGCCTGGTCTTACAGTGCCCACATGACCCCCTTTGGTCCTTCAGGAACCTCCCAGTTCCTAATGTCAGCTTGGTGACTCGCCCTAATGGCATGTGTGAAAGCTGCCCTGGATGTCATGTGACTGAGGACAAAGACAGGAAAAAGAGACAGCTGCCAACCACAACATCACTCACTCAGTCACACACACACATTAAATAGACGCACATCCACTCTGTGCCTACGACTTAGTACCCCTTCACAGCTATAGCTCAGTATGACAGCAAAATGGCATCGTGCATTAGTACAATTCTGGTCATTCTGGGCCATTACTGCATAAGCCCCTTAGCTGGGTCATGACTATTCCTTCTCCCCTCCCTGCTCGCTGCCCTAAGCGGTGTTAGTTCTGTTACTGGCAGACAAGCTGAGAGTTTATGTAAGACTGACCCCTCCTCGGGCCTCCCTCACTTACTTAGCCTGAGCCTCACTGTCTCCTCTCCCCGCTCTCACTCTCTCTTTTATGCACACAAACACAGCGATGCACACACACACATACACGCACACACACCTCGACCAGCCTCAGACAGCAGGGTGATTGTAAGAGGCCAGACTCGCTGCATAAATAGCTTTATTATGTTCTCAAAACTGCCAGCGCTAACCAGCTTCCCTCTTAAATAGCATAAGGTCATTGCCTGTGCTGGATGTGAAAGGCTGTGAATGAGACAGTCCTCCAACATTTCGCCTTGTACTTTTACCGACAATTATGATAAAGCATTGATAATGGAATACAGATGGACAGAACGGTGATGGTGAACGATACAGACGGCAGACAAAACAGGTAGGGGAGTCCAAGTGTGAGCGAGAGACACAGAGCGGGAAAGAGAGAGAGAGAGAGAGGGATGGCAGCAGAAACACAACCTTTTAAGGCTGCATACCCAGCAGCCCAGTGCCTGAGGTGCACACACAAATAGCTCATACACAAATGCAGACAGATGCACGCGCGCACACGCACCAAACGCCTGCGTGATTGCACAAGGTGAATATCCTTTTTTTTTTTTATTTCCTGCTTTTTTATGCAAACGTAGCAGAAGCACGACCATCCCTGGATGTAGATGAGCATCTTGGTGTGAGCTGATGATCCTAGTCTGGCTGTCATTTGCAGTTTTTTTCCCCTTATTTTGTTCCTCGGGCTCTCAAGTGAAGTGTAGCCACATATGCCAATGTTTCTAGAAGGTTCCAGTCTTTGCTTGGAGACAAACCAAAGAGAATGGGCCCAGATTTCTAGTATTCACAAGTCCAATGGGCACAGCATGAGGTTTCAAGTTTGATGTCTATTAGTCCCTCGGAGCAGAGCGAGGTGATGGAAGCCCTAAAAAGTGCCTATTTGGGTTTTTTCCCAGCAGGATAAATGCATATATATATATTTGGATATGAAATACAAAATAAAGCCCTCTCTCTCTCTTTCTCTCTCTCTCCCCAGTTCATGTGCATGTATTCAGCTGCAGGGCAGCGAGAAGGACAATCGTAAAATATCATGTGTGGGACAGCCATAATTGAAAAAGATGGCCTTAAAGCTGCTTCACGCAGTCACGCGCACACATCCACTGGATGAGCCATATGCCAGGTAGCACTAAAACCATCCTCACGTAACTCCCCGGCTGAAGCAGATGAATGTTAAACCATTTTAACTGCAGCAGAAGCCACAAAATGGCTGTCAGCAAAAACACCTCCCCTACTCCCCAACTGTCTTCCTCCTTCCCCTCACCTCACTCCCCCTCAACCTCTGTTCTCTCCCCTCTCCTCATTGCTACCTCTTCCCTTTCCCCTCCACCTCCCTATCCCTCCCTCCCTTCTTTCTGTGCGCTCTGCCAAAAGGTGCTCCAGTGCTGATATTCTGTTAAGAGAGCCTGCCAACAGTTAGATTTGTCCTTGGATCCCGTTCACATTCCCTCCTCCCCCACCCACCTTCTCTGTTATCCTATTTCGACCCAAGGTATCCAGCGCAGAAGGGGATACACCTAATCGATTTCTCATACTTTAATTTAAAGGTGGCATGCAGGCATCTCATTACTTAACCGGGAGTCTAATAGCCTGTTTCATACTTTCGCACCACAAAAATGCCGCCAGGTCTGGGGGAGCTGAAACTGTTAACAAGACAAGATCGATGGTTCCATCCGAGCTTGAATCACCTCTATTATCCGTTCCTCAGCCTCCTTTCCTTCCACCTACTCACGCACCTCTCTTACAGTTGTCCTTTACTTTAACCCTTGTTCTTTTGCTTTTTATAAAATCAAGCCCTCATATATATCCAAGAGGACCTGATCGCACGTCAGCCCGCAGTGAGACTTGGTCATGTTTATCTGTTTATCTTTTGGTGGTCTGGTTGTGACAGAGGTTTCTAGGTGCTAATGATAACCACCGACCCCCGGTCCTCACCTTCCTCCACAGGGCCATGGCATTTGGACATGTAGTTTCTGACACCCACGTGAAATTGATGACCTGCTGATAAATGCAACCACAGTGGGCAGAGCTGTTTTACCAAGCTACTACATTTGGGCACACATCTGTGATGACGATGCTACAGTTTGTGCACACTGTGCTACTAGTAAAAAATGATGATAATCAGAATAAAGTCAACATGACATCACATTTTTCCCTCTAAAACAACAACAACAAAAAAACACTGAAAACATTTAGAAACAAACATGCAAACAAAAATCACAGCTTAACTTCAGATAAAGGAACAACTGACAGGTCGAAAGAGTGACAACCATCTGCTTGCTGCATGCCACAGATTGTGATGCTATGTGATGGACTGTCCATGTCAGTGAAGGCGCAGGCGGTCCACTACAGCAGAAACAGATTTAAACTTAAGAGGCCGAGCTGTGGTTGAGTTAAACCCTGATCTGAACAGTGGACACTTTATCCCATTGGCCTTAATTGGTTGTTTTCTCTTACCCGCCCCTACCACCACCATCTAATTACCAAGGTATTACACAGTAATAACAGATGGAGACCGAGTAGTACCACAGTTGTTTGGGGCTGGTGTGCGTCTCGTTGAGTGGTGGCGCGAGCATGTGCGCGCGTGCGCGTGTGTTTCGGGCGATTTTGCTGGCATGTGACTGCAAGCAATTTCACATTTAAGGAATAACAGTCTCGCGGGCAGAATGTGGAAGGCTTTGTAGGAGGTGACAGGCAGCTCAAACAGCACACATGAAAAGCAGACACAGGCGGCCAAGTGACGTTACAAACACGAACACAGTTTTTCACCGGAGAGGTGCATTCAGGTGTGGAATGTGGTCAGTCAACCGGGGCTACTTACCCATGTCTAATGTTGTCTCACACTCGGCTCTAACGTGTAAATATTTTATCACGATCATTTACAATCCATTTAGAGACATTTTACGAAAGCGACGGATGGGGTGACAGCCTCCCGTGGAGCTGTCAAACGGTGCCAGAAGAGACGGATATGTTTTTTGACAGAAAATCCCGGGGAAAATGGCGTCAACGGTGCTTTGGAAGGCAAAGAGCGAAAAAAGGAGAGCGAGAAAATAGGATTTGCAGTCGATCTGGTGGCAGAATCAAGGTAGCCGCACAGGGGAGGAGAAAAAATCCAATCGGAAACTTGGGTCCAGTTCCTGGTAGAAATAAGATCTTTAGAGGCTCTGGCGTGTTGACTCGCGCTGTGGAGAGCCGCCGCTGACGCCGCCGCCGTGCGCACTGAATCTCCGATGCCTTGCGGGATCGCTGGTCACTCGGGGAGCTTGCACGGCACTGAGATCCCTCGCAAATCCGCTACTCGGCTGGTTTGGGAGGAGGAGGGGGTGAGAGCAGGACTGTTACTGCAGTCAAAACAAGCCCGCATCCGACTACAAGCCCAAATCCAGCAGCGGGGGGTGGAATTTCAGCGACAAGACCGCGCTTTTAGTCGTCAGTGGGCTGCACAAGAGGCAGGAGATGGTGGTGGGGGTTGCTCGTCGCCGGTTGCACTGGGTCAAGCTTTTCTCTACCTCTCTCTCTCTGTGCCTCTCTCTCGCTCGCTCTTGCTCTCTCTCTCTCTGCTTTTCCGATCGGTGAATGTCAGGTCCCGGAGCCTGGTGTCTGGTAATGATCTCACCCAGCAGACTAAAAGCTCTAGCAGAGCAAAGCAGAGGGGAGAGATGAGAAGAGGAGGAGCGACATCGCCTCCCCCTGGCAGCAAACAACCTCAACGAGTCTCCCTTTTTTCCCCTTTTTTTCTTTTTTTTCTTTTCCAAACCTCCCCCTAATTCCCAGGGCTTTCTCCCGTGGGACTGCTCTCATACTGGCACGGTGTTATTTTAATGTAATGCAAATAGGGAAAGCAACATCTGGCAAAAGGCTTGTTGTTTTGACTGAGTCACTGCTGTAAGGAGAAACATGTTTGGCACTGGTTTTCAACAGGTTCAGATACGTACCTGCATACAGAGCAGAAGAGACTGCGACTGAAATAAATATTTTAAGGGAAATATGCATCTTATACTATGTAACTGTAGTCTACTGAGCCTGGCTTTAAAATGCCTGAATTGTAATGATAAATAAATATTTAATGGTCTTAGAGCAGTGGGATTTGATTAATTGGCTGGACATAAACAAACAGGGGTAAAATATGGACTACAGCTAAGTTTGAGTGAATATAATTTGTAGGCAAACTAAGAGTTGGTGTTTAAATTCACTAAAGTTTCATTAAAGTTGTAGATTTTTTTTATTGTTATGCATTGGTGTTTGGGGGCTGTTGACTTCTGAAGTGGGGGCAAGCCAGAAAAAGTTTGAGAATCACTGTCTCAGAGCAATTATACCAGACAACAGATGTTAATTCGGCTCAACATCTGGCCAGTCCTGTTTGAATCAGCATCTGAGCTACTGTGGCTTCATTTGAACACTAACCGGGCGTCTGCATGAACAATTGGGCATAATTCAGCTGTAGCGTTTTATTTAACCAGTAAAGGGCTTCACTTAATTTAAGATGAAAAAAGCTCTGTCATCAGAAAACAAATTAAAAAGCACACAATTAGCAGCCTTAATGATATAACAGATATACTAAAGGCAAAAAAAAGGTCCATCCATTCATTCTCTTTGGCTTATCCTTATCAGGGTTGGGGTTACAATAAAAGCTATCTTTTTCCATATAGTCAAAATGAATAAGAGATAACCGATTTAGAATATTAGAGATGCTGTGATCATTGCCTTCACTCCGCTCATCCAGAATAGACGGCTTCTGCTGAGTCATAACTTAATACATAAATCTTATCAGTAGTGGTTCTAATGCATATCCTCTGGGGGTGTTTGACATGAAACATTTTGCAAGCCCGTGGGCTGAACTATAAATAAAGTTTATCACCTTTGTCTTCGTACGAAATGGCTTGTGCGCAAACCACTACTACTGGAATGAGCTGCGATGGTGCTATTTGGCGAGCGTGGTATTCATTTATTCTAATTCAACGTGTGTGTTCAGCGAGACAAACGCTGCCACTCCACGCTGCGCTGCTGACACGTTGTATTCAGAGTAAGACAAGGTGGGTGCGTGGGTGGGGTTGAGTGGGTGAACAAAAAAGGCAGATTAGAGTGGGGTGTGCATGTGTGTGTGTGTGTGTGTGTGTGTGTGTGTGTGTGTGTGTGTGTGTGTGTGTGTGTGGTGTGTGTGTGTGTGTCGTGCTAGTGCTGGTGCTTTCCCCTTAATATGTCACATTAGAGGAGGATGGAAAACCCACATCAACCAGGCATGAACAAGCCGGAGTTGTTCCATTAATTCATCTTTGTCAGAAGTTATGTTTATATCGGGTCTCCATGCAAAACTTGACCTTCCCTGTATGGAAAACATTCTTTAACATTAACAAGCGATGCAAATGATGTCAGATGACCTTTCTCTCTTGGTGCCCCACAGTTACTAGCTGTTACTCATCCCTGGCATGTGTGTGTTTGTCTGTGTGTGTGTGTCCGTGAGTGCATGCATGCCCATGTGTCCCTGTGTAGAGCACCCACTGGGAGATGTTTCATTAGCCAGGGTGGTGTGCTCAGTAGCACGTAAACACTCGGCACAATTTCAGACTTGTAGTTAAAAATCTGCAATGCCATCAGCAGTGTGGATGCTACTGCTTTGCACGTTGCCTGCTGTGCCACATTGACTAGTTTCACAATTGCGTTTGTGTGTCTGTGTGTCTGTGTCTTTATTATATTGAGAGCGCTTTCATAACAGCGCCTTTGATCATCTCTCCATATAAGGGCATGGGGCCGGTATTACATTATAGCGTGTGTGTATTTCTGCGTGTTTTACTTTATCTTTATGTAGACCAAATGTTATGACAGTGAAAGCAACAGTCCCAGGATTTCTAAACAGATTTGGCATGATCTGCTCAACATATTCATTAAAATAAGGCTCAGGTTTATGGCTACGAGTCAAGGCTACCTTTAAATTTGAATTAATCTGGGAAGGGGTGATTTTTATGGGTTTTGGAGGAGAGAAACAGAAACTGACTCTAGAATAAATTTAAAATAGCAAAATCTGTGTGTGTCTGTGTTCACGTCCGTGTGTGTCTATTGATCTGGGTTGTGTGCAAGAACAGAAAGAGACCCCTGAGAGAGAGGGGTCAACAGCTGCTCCCCAACAACCAATCAATTGCAGTGTATCAGTAAACATTACACTCTCGCTCTCTCTCTCTCTCTCACACACACACACACACATATGCGCGCGCACGCGCCCGGACACATAAAGACAGCACTCTCTTCTCAAATCTGTTTCCATGGATACCAGATACAGGCGGCCAAGAGGGAGCAGTTTTCCAGCTTAAACTGTAAATATTGAATTATGATGGGGAGAAAAGAGACAGCAGTGCAGGGCAACGTTCCTGCCTGAATGATCTAAATATCTGGATAATCCTTTCATCTCTATTCACCGCTACAGGAAATCTGGTGCATCATTCATGCTCATCAAGTTCAACATAAAAAGATCAATCTGTCTTACGGATCCAGCCACTTATGTGACGCTCTATAACAGACCGAGAGCTGCCCTCATTCCTTCATCTCTCCCTGCCATTTTGTGTGTGGAAGATCTTCATTCCCTCAAGTGGGATGCAAAGTAAATGCTTCCCTGTGCTTGATGTGCAGCACATAACAGTGAATTCAAACCACTTTAGCCGAATGCTGGGCTCCTCTGTGGTTTGATCAATGGGGAGAGGGGAGATTGAAAGATTGAGATGAAGACGTGGAGTAGGAGGGGAGAAAAAAACAAGTTAATTAATAAATGCTTTGACAAATGTTTCAAGTGCGGGGGCCACTAGAGAGCAAAGCAGAGATGCAAAAGCTGAGAGGGAAAGCAAAGGTGAATGGCAGTAATTGATTTGGGGATCTTTATAAATATTATAATCGCTGGCATCTGCAGAGGTAAAATACTAATAACGCACTTGTATTCATAACAGAGCTACGCAGCTTGACTGCGCCGTGAGTGAACACACTAACCTTGAGCTGACATTGTGAGCAGCCGAGACTCACGGTCAATCAGCGAGGGGCTTCTCTCAGGGAGTCCACTAATCTCGCAGGGCAGCGGCGGGCTCATCAGAGCTCCGAGACCTCTGGGACTGATGGAGGTAATGGGGTGAGCTGAGAGAGTGGGAGAAGGAGTGTGTATATGGGCATCAGTGAGGGGGGGGAATAAAGAAACACAGTTGTGTGTGATGCAGACACAAATGTGCATAACCAAAGTGCATCTGTGCACACATGCGCATGTCTGTGTGTGTCAGAAGGTGCGAGGGCCGTGCTGATGGAATGAGAAGTTAATGGGACGTGTGACAAGGTTGATTACTGAGGCCTCAGTGATCTGACTGGGTTAATGAAGTAAATGGCTCTTTGGATAGCACACCACTGGGGCCATCTCTCCAGATCCTGATACGCACAAACAAATCAGAGTGGCCTTTTCTTCCTTCCAACTATAACTTCCCTCACTGTGCTTGTGGCCATTGTGGGTTTTGAATTAATCTTGGTGCTACATTTCACATATTCTTTCATCCCAAAGTTCTCTTACAACACCCTGCTGCAAACTAGAAGACAAATAAGCCTATATAAGAGGTAAGGCAAACAATGGAATATTTTCTGTATGTACAGCATTAAAACAAGGGAGCTCAGCACACAGTGTTCAGCCTCTTTGAAGGATTTAAGTGGCCACATGTAGTTTGCAAATACAGCCAGACTTACATATTCAAGAGAAGATGCGCACACACGCACAAACACGCAGACAAACAAAGGAAAGGAAAAGAAACACTGCGAGACTTTGTTCCCCATTTGAGGCTGCGATAGAGATTTTTCTAATGAGAGCAATAATGATGTCTGAGAAAAGACACAGACCAGAACAAAACAACAATACAGATGGGTGCTACGACAACAACAAAGACGCCCTAAATGCAGCTGACTGTGGACTCCCCGCTGGCTCTGTCTATGTGAAGAGATGACACTGCGCCCATCCCCCTGCTACTTATAAGGACATTATCATAATGTTGGCTCCGTACGAGCTCAGCTATCAAGTGGGCTCATCTTGAAGTCGTCCACAAGCCCCGGTGTACGCAGATGCTTCAGATGCCTGAGGAAGACAGTGGTGAACAAAAACATTTCTGCCCTAATATTAATTCAGACTGACAGCTCTGGCATCTAACAATGCAGCCCAGGACTGACAGCACCAATTTGACAAATCTCTGCGTTGGTTGTAAACACACAGCAGCACGGAAAATAATGATTGTCCTTCTGTTTGTCCTTCTGCTTTCTTATTGTCTTGTCACTACAGACATCTGCAGAGAATGAAAGGGGCAAAGTGAAGCATGTTTGTGGACCATGTGTGGCTGATGCTTTAGCAGTAAGTCAGTAGTTTAAAAAAATGGTGTGCAAAACCTGGTCTATGTGCTTCAATAAAAAAATAGAGGTGAAAAAAAAGTAAAAATACAAATGTCAGCATCTATTAGACGTATAAATAATGAATAATTTGTTCTGAGAAACAGATATTGTTTGTCACGGCTTGTGTGAACCTTCACACCTCAAACATCCACCCTACAACATCCTGTTGTGTTATAACTGTGCATGTGGTCAGATACAGCTGCATGTGTGTGTGTGTGTGGTGTATGTGTGTGCATGTGCGTGTGTGGGCCTGTGAGAAAGAGTCAGAAACATAAAGAAAGAAAGAGAGAAAGAGGAAAACTCCCTAGATGACAGAACGCAGCCACTTCCCCAGAGACTCTGTGAGTAAAAAGAGGACAGAAACCTACAGCAGCAGGTGTGTGATACAGCACTGACTGCGATAGCGCTGAATCATTCATCCCTTACACATTCGGTGACACCATCGGGGATCTTTCTTAACCTTTCATTTCTGAAGCATTGACCCAAAACACTACACCTAAATCGCTAAAAAGTGGAACAGAGCAAATGATGACCAACAAAAAAGACCAAAAAAGAACATCCGGTGTGCATCATTCAACATTTTGGGGCATATTCTCGAGGCAAACGTGAGATTGTGACACTGCTCTTCTGCAGAAAAATTGCTTTTGCACTTCAACATTTCACTCCATCAACACATCTTCTATTCGGCATTTTGAAGAGACATGCATGGTTTGTGGGTGGCAGTGACTTAAAAGAAATCTGTGAGTGTGTGTAACAGCATGTGTGTTAAACGCAAATTTTTGATAAGGGTGAACAAATGTTTATTTAATTTTTTTACATCTCTGAACAGGTCACCCAAAATGCATCCTCCTCACACTCTTGTATAGCCAAATGAGCAGGTTATCATAGCTGTGCAATCAGTGTAAAAATTGTTTCTGAGGAAGAATTAGGTGGTCACATACCACACGCATATACATACATAAACGGCATTTGGTCTGCATTTGCTGTTTACTGTACATTGTGTGAACACTGTCCCATCTGAAGCTGCTTTCCAGCAGCAGGATGTGGTGGCGCGACACGTCCTCGCTTAACAACACCCACTTCCTATGAGTTTGATAAACAGCTTTGTGGTTTCACTCTCCTCCTGCCCGTCAAACAGAGGTATACACACACAGGCGCGCGCGCACACACACACACACACAAATATGCACACACCCGCTCAACAGCATCACCATCTGCTAATGTGACACATAACCAGAGTGAGTTATTGTTGTGCATAATGTTACCCATAGTGTCATGTGATTTACAGTGACAAACTATACAAACGCTACTAGAATCACTTATGTCTCTCTTCATCCACAGCCTCACCGAGACACGGAGGGGAATGAGCACAAGAATGTCTTTAAATCATGGCAGAATTAGTAGGCATCAATATGTCATATTTGTTTTAAAGCAAGTGATGTAAATGGATCTGAGTTATGTCAGCCGTGGTCATTAATGTCCCAAGCCCCTCCCCCCACGTGTGTTCCTAAAGTTTGATTGTAAGATAGTAAAGTCTTCTCTTCTCTTCTCTTCTCTTCTCTTCTCTTCTCTTCTCTTCTCTTCTCTCCTCTCCTCTCCTCTCCTCTCCTCTCCTCTCCTCTCCTCTCCTCTCCTCTTCTCTTCTCTTCTCTTCTCTTCTCTTCTCTTCTCTTCTCTTCTCTGCATGGTTGCATGGGCACATACGGTCCTGTCACTCACATCTGGGAGCTGTCAGATGAATGTGCACACATCTGAGAGGAGAATGAGGGGTGTATTAGGCCTGCTGATCCTTCACACCCCTCTTGTCAAACTTAACATAAAAATGAAAGTCAGTGGCGAGTGTGTGCGTGTGTGTGCATGTGTGTGTGTATGTGCATGTGAGGCAGCAGACGAGGAGGGTCAAAGGAGAAGAGCCATGCCTAATCCTGTGGGATGTGAGGGTATCTCACTGCGTATGGAGATGAGATGTAGAGATGTGCTCAGTGGAGCATGGATCACAAAACCTTCCTAACTGACAGAAGAGACTCCCAGGAGACAGATGTCAAACTGCTAACTGGTGAAAGAAAAATAAAGGGGGCAAAAAAGACAAACTGTGAGGAAAATAACAGTACTGCATGTTGCATCATAACAGTAAAATGTTAAGAGGCGAATGAGGCTGGAACTGAGATTAAATCTCCCCTTCACTTATTATTAATCTTAGTATTAGTAGCAGTATTAGTATTGTTAGTATTATTAATATTAATATTGTAATTGAACAAACCTTTAAAAATCCAGTTAAACAAATGCAGAATAAATAAATCATGCTGGGGGTTTTGTTTTTTTTTTGCCTCTATAATTTGGTTCACGGTGGTGTTAGACAAATAAAATCGGTAGGTGTCGCTGTTGTTCAATTTAAATTTAAAGCCTCCTCTAACCCGGAAAGACTACTTGCGGTCCTTTAACAGAGCAGGAAGTGCCTCAGCACGACACTGACAGTTATTTATCATGGCGCTTGATGTGAAAAGCAGAGCCAAGCGGTACGAGAAGCTGGATTTCCTCGGAGAGGGTCAGGTAGGGGGAGAAATATTTAAGAGATATGTGTCTTTGCTTTTTTCTTCGCACGTCCTTAGACCGCTTTGTTTATTCTGTAGAAAGCACGATGGCGAGCTAACAAAGCATTAGCTGGTTGCTAATGTCAACAAAGCCTCGCTGGTTCATGCTGCGCTGCTTCTTGTGCCAGTGAATTTCACCAAAATAAGTAAAAGAAATTAACTTTTGGTTTTTGAATGTTGTTTTTTCTCTGCAGTTTGCCACAGTATACAAAGCCAGGGACAAACTGACCGACACAATAGTTGCTATTAAAAAGGTAAAAGAAACGAGCTGCTTTAGTGTTTTACTGCTACCATTCACACTGTGTGTTGATGAGCCGCAGTAAACATTTATCTTTTTATTCCCTTCAGATTAAGGTTGGCCACAGAACTGAGGCTAAAGATGGTAAGTGCTGGGTCCTATCAATATGCTGCAGCTCATTTTCATCCATTTTATAAAATTTTTTTACGTATTTATTTTTTTAAATAGGAATTAATCGGACTGCACTCAGAGAGATAAAACTGCTGCAGGAGCTCCATCATCCGAACATTATCGGGGTAGCTAAATGTTCATCGCACATCATCATAATCTTGTGTTACTTGTATCGATTGTATAGAAAGATACCTTAATTTTTCTATATTGCGCCGTTTATGTATTTTTTTTAATCTAAATATTGTTGTTTTATGTGTGTTGCAGCTGTTGGATGCTTTTGGACATAAATCAAACATCAGCCTGGTGTTTGATTTCATGGAAACAGACCTGGAGGTGAGTAGAGACCTAAATAGAAATGTGGAGGAATTTCATACACAGCGTTTGTGCACTATTACAAATATTCACTTTTTTATTAGCTTTTGTGTGTGTGTGTGTGTGTGTGTGTG